ACACACACACACACACACACACACACACACACACACACACACACACATATATATATAGCTAGCCATTATTTTTTGCATCTAGTTCTACTCTAGATAAGGGCCTGATTGGAGTGTAGTGCTATGGACAACAGGATGTTTAGCGTTTTAGCGCGTTCAGCCCTACAATTCTGATCCAGATTGAGTCTTTTATGCCTGCCAATGCCAACAGCAAAAATGAATGACTTAAGTTAAAAAAAGGCTAACTTTAACTTCTACTGGTAGATGTACTGCCCATAACTCTATATAATCCCCAAATTGCTAATCACATATAAAAGCAAGAAACTCATTTCTCAATACAATACAAAATTAATTCAATCAAAAGACCCCTTTTTAGTTTAGATGACTAATCAAATGGATTCTTTCTTTAATATATAAGTGAATAAACAATTTTGTTTCCCCTGTCTCAAGAGAAGTCACATAACTGAATTACATCTAAGGTAAGAAATTTTCTCCTGTTAAAACAAAAATGAATATTCATTCTTATTGCTTAAAACTAGTTGTTCATAGATAATTTAACAATGTAAACAACTTGCATAAAATAGATGCAATGGGAGAGAATAAGGAAATATTTGTTAGGATTGTTAGCAAGCATTGAGCTATTTCACATTATGAAGATTTTGAAAATCAGCACTCTTAAGATGTAAACTGACAGAATTATTTCATGGGTGAATAACTGCTTGTCACTGAACAATTCAGTCCAGGTGATTTCTATCCAAATCCATCAAATTCTATCCAATTCCATCTTGAATCAAATAATGGTATTTGAGTAATTGTCTTCAGTTACTCTTAGCCTGTAAGATAATTATTCTACCTCTGTTTCAATGCCACAGAAGAGTCTTTATTGAGTGAATTGAGCTACCTGCTTGTTATTGTTGTAAGTGAAGGACAGTAATAGCCACTGGATGCATGTTCAAAGCTTCGAGGGATTGTATCAATCTTGTAACAATATCCACCATGTCTTTCCCATCCCTTCAAAAATAAATTTGAAGTAAATATTAATTACTGTTATGTATACTATAGTGTATTATTTCTCCATCTCTCTATCTAAAATTTAAATGTCAAGAAAATATTAAATCAGGAAGCTTCTGTCAGACAAAACATTCAAGGAAGGAACATAGTTCAGTTCTAGTTCCTACGCACTTATGCCTAGTTTTCAGACCTTTGAGGTAAGCCTGATAAGGAAACAGACACCATAAGAAATTCTAGAACTATACCATATTGATATACAATATATTCATAGTCTTGAAATCCTGACATCATTTACTTTTCTGTCCTCTTATACTAGAGCAGGGGTGTCAAATTTGCGGCCCAGAGGCCAGATGTGTCACATGCTGGCCATGCCCACACCCAGTTTAGTGAAAGGGAAAAAGGTTCACGATATGTTACAACACCGTGATGATGTAAGTTTGATACCCCTGTACTAGGGACTAAAGGCAGGCAATGTTAAGCTTATTTCTTACACTTTCTTGTTTTCCTGGCCTGAGCTCATGTTTTGCTAATGGTCCCTGCATATCTTCTCCATGGTCATTTCTATATTCTCCATGGTTATTTCTATATCAGTTTGGTCGCTGGTAAAATAAGCAACAGTTGGGCAACAATGAGTCTGATATAAGCAATTTTTGTTTCCATTCTGCTCATCCACTTAATCACTGATTAAGACTGGAGAGAAGAATCTTTGGATTTTCTGGAAAACCACAGTAGGCCATCTAATGATACAGTGACTTCAATGGAAAAAATAGTGTCAAAATGTTTTAGCCCATTTTAGGGAGAGCTTAGTAGGTAGGAACGCGAGGTCTCTATAATTTCTACCTCTATATGTTCAAAAGATAAAATAGGCAATTTTAAAAAGATGGCTTCCATGCACATTCATCACTGAGGCAAGTTTTGAATGCTCTGTTCAGTCAAGAAAGTAATAAATCAATACATAGGATCAGAGTGTTGAGAACCACTGAACCATGCGTGTTTTATTCCATTGACAATCTGACTGATTTAATTTGTATGCTACCAAATCCTTTCAGGGAATCAATGATAAATTATAATTCTAAAAGGAAACAATCACTTTAAAAACAAAACAAAATAATAATAAATTAATTAATGCAGTCAATTTATTGATTCATATCTGCTACAAACATAGAAGAAGCTGATCTGATCATGGTTGGAGGATCACGTGAAAAACAAAATTCATGCTAATTCATTAACCAAGAAAATTTAGTATCTTCTTTTTTTATCCTTTGGTAAGTGGTAAAGTATTTCTCAGCTATTTTAAATGTTTGAATGAACCTAAAACTTAATCTGTAATTTTTCTGAATCAACCCAGCACAATGTTTTTTAAATTTGTATTTAATTAATTATGGAGATATATGATAGGTTAACACTCTGGGAAGGCTATCAAGCACATATGCCAGTCAAAATATTATTACATAATTATATAGCAGAAATGAGAATATGTTACTAAAAAGCAATTATAACCACGTTGATCTTTGGGAAAAAATGCAGAGTTGCATAATATTTTTGGCTAACAAAGAATGCAAATTATTAAGTTTTCCAGAATTCTTCATTATGCAATATATAATTAGTACCCATGGGTTTTATATTTTTAACACATATTTGGACAAGGAAAAAATAAGCATATTTTAGTTAAGTTAAAAGTTATGATAATATCTGGATATTGTAAAGCAGGCAATAGTGACCTGCTTCTGAAGTGAATCTATCCATACTGGTAGATTGATGCCTTAGTCTATCTGGTACTTCAAATTCTTTCAGGGTCTTTAATGCCATATGTACTACTATATATGGCATTAAAGTTTCTAGGTATCCGGAGAATGAGAATTGGGGACACTTACTTATAACTTAAGATTTTGAAAGAATCATTAAATTGCACTAGCAGAAACATTGTCACTCTCTTTGAGATGAGAAAAGATGTGTATGTTTGTTTGCACTGGCAGTTGCATAAAAGTTAATTCTAAATATAAATATTAAACATGATATTAAACTATGGTAAAGCTCTGTCCAGAAATTTTATAAACATGGAAACCTGAATTCACATATGCTCATTCATCATGTGTTAACATTTACATTCCTTATAGGTACAAGATGAACTATTAGGTAATCATGCCTTTCTTGGATACTTTTATTCAATACATGTTTTAGTGTTTTGAATCAAAATATTTGTGCAAAACTAATCAATTAAATAGAATGATGTCTCCAGAAAAATATTTACTTACTTAAAATTTTTACTTAAAAAAAAAATTAAAGAAGATGAAGACTCATTCCCTTGTCTGGAAATTGAATATGGTTTTCAAGTATCCATTTATTACCCATGTAGTATCTATTATCTGAACCTGAATTTTATATTGATCCAATATCCCATTTGAAGGCTGGATTTTGTATTTTGATTAGAACATTATTTAATGTTATATTTAACTTTGGAAGAAAAAGCTAAATAATTTTATGCCTGTAATATTGACATCCTAAATTGTAATTAATATTGATAGAATTTTTGCTTTCTTTCCTCCATTTTCAATACTTCAAGCTATCTAAGTAATTAGGATGTTATCTCTAATCATATCATATAGACACTGATGTATGGAAACAATATTATGTATTTATTATAACAATATAATAAAAAGGAAAATAAAATGTAATACAACAAAGGAATACATTTTTTATTTTATAGCTTTGGGGATGTAGTATTTCTGGGTTATACTGTACTATAATCTGTAGTGTTGGTTTTGTGTGTTTACATATGTTCACTATTGGCTTTTCTGCTGTTTTTATTGGGCTATTTCTATAAACCAACTGACCAATTTCTTATTTGGTATGGATGATTAGGAATAAATCTTATCTTGCCCAAATATGATCAGCAGAAGAAAAGCTATAATGGAGACAGCATCAATTAAAAAAAAACCAGAAAGACAGCCCTAGGACAGAAAGCTAACTGGACTAACAAAGTTTAAATGAGCATTTAATTTCATATGCAACAATTATGCAATGTTGGGGGTCAGCAACACATTACAATAAGATTTGGAATGATTAAATGGAGCACACCATACTGAAAGGATGATTTTTAGCAGTTGAATTAAAAGCTACAGTTCTATTAAATATAAAGCAAAAGTATATCAGGATTAGAAACAATGAACAATTCATATAAACATTTCTTCATTGTTATAGATTTAATCTAGCATTTGGTCATAATGCTTGTGTAGAGGTTTTTCTTCCAGCTTAAGATGCTTTGTGTTTCAGATTCAGAGCAACAGCATATATACCCTTCAGAACACCAAAGCATGTAAATCATAACCAAGTTATTTTGTTATTGGCTCTGTTTAATTAACTAAGATCTGTGGATGTTCATGGATTTAGCTGCCTAGAGGCTGAGCTACTTGTATGAAATACTGGCATTTCAAATGATGCCATATACTGTGACCTTCCATTTAATCCAATTTTGTTAGGTTTGTAAGCACCATTTCTTATTTTCTTCTTTGTCAGGAAAATGACAGCTTCATGATATAATTCCAAAATAAGGCTTGGGGGAATGGGTTGATCATCATTGCTGCAGTGTGTTTAGACAGCTAGCTTAAGGAATTTGACCTCAGTAACAAAACATTTGCTCTCTGTTAGCAGTTTATAGATTAGAAGGACAAAAAAAAGAGGAGTTGTTGAATTAGTAATAAAATCACATGGCACACGGCCATCTGAGCAATAAGCCCTTTGCTTGCAATATCTAAGAAAGATACAGGATCATCAATTCATCAGAAGTGTTGTAAAGACAAATAAATCCTGGCAATTTTCTGAAGTCAAGAGCAAATGAAAACAACCACATATTATGAAGGAAGGATTGACTCTCATCATCGGCAATTAATTTAAGGGCTATCTAAACCTGATGGTCTGTACTTGAAATCAAAATTAAACTAACTGTCAGCCAATTGGTTTTTAACATTAAAGTAGAAGGAACCCTTGGAATTTGATATATAACAATATCCGTCTCATTTTATGAAGCAGAAATGACATGGCCCACAGACTCCTTGGTGAGACCCATTCTGCCTCTTTTATTAGTGAAATGCAGTTCAACTTTTTTCTACAATCCAGACCTTTCCCAAAATGACTCTGAGGAAAAACTAAAAAGAATAAGGAGTAGTTGGTTTGAAAAGAATTCCTCCATACATGGGTATGGAGCTCAAAATACATGGTTGTGCCACAAAACAGCATTCAATCTTCAACTGGGAATATAATAGAATTGGTTTTACTTGCTTGTTTATTAAATTTATATGCTGCCCACCTCACTACCCAAGGAACTCTGGGTTTTGGAATGTTCAATAGGGCCCACTTTTTTACATTGGTTAGAGACTTTTCTGTAGCAGTAATTCAACATTTAATAAGGGATTCGAGCTAATAAATCAATGTTGGACAAATATATATATATTTTAAAACGATCCTAGGATCCTTTGCATCAGGATGGAGTCAGGGTGACTGAATGGAGCTTGAGCATTTACTGGCTGGATGCTCTTCCTGAAGCCTATGTGTAGTTCGCAGCAGACAAGTACTCATTGTACCCAGAGAGAGAAATAACTGCCACTACCTAGGATCAAACTCATACCCTCCTGATTGTGAAGCAAGAGATCCACCTCTAGGCTACCACACCGCTCAATGTTGGTCAAGTGATATTGAATGAAAATGTGGTGAGAAATATCTGTAGTGATATAATTATTGTCAATTGTCACAGACATTATTTAAATTTATTCTATGGTGACTACTTGGGCTGTTAAGTATTGTACTGAGCACGCTGAAGGACAGGAAGCAGCAGATGAAGCTAGGCAGAATCATATCTGATACATGTACAATTAGCACAGCCCCGCCCCCCAAGGCTGTGTGCTTTCTCCACTTCTCTTCTCCCTATATACCAATGACTACATCTCAAACAATCCATCTGTTAAAATACTGAAGTTTGCAGATGATACAACAGTGATTGGTCTCATTCGAGACAATGATGAATCCACATACAGATGGGAGGTTGTACAACTTGCCTCGTGGTTGACCGGAACAATCTGGAATTGAACACACTCAAAACCATAGAAATGGTGGTAGACTTTAGGAGAAACCCTCCTGTACTACCACCTCTTTCAATATTAGACAACAGTAGAGACCTTCAAATTTCTAGATTCTATCATATAACAAGACCTAACATCAAAAATGTCATCAAAAAAGCACAACGAAGAATGTTCTTTCGGCACCAACTCAGAAAGATCAAACTGCCCAAGGAGCTGCTGATATAGTTCTACAGATGAATTACTGAGCCTGTCATCTGCACCTCTATAACTGCCTGGTTTGGTTCTGCAACCCAACAAGACAGACAGAGACTTTAGAGAGTAATTAGGATTGCAGAAAAAACAATTACTGCTAACCTGCCTTCCACTGAGGATCTGTATACTACATGAATCAAAAAGAGGACTGTGAAAATATTTACAGACCCCTCACATCCTGGACATAAACTGTTTCAACTCCTACCCTCAAAATGTTATAGACCCAAGAACAGTTTTTTTTCTCAAACGCCATCACTCTGATAAGCAAGTAATTCCCTCAACACTGTCAAACTATTTATTAAGTCTGCATTACTATTACTATTACTATTAATCCTCCCATCCTTCCTTTCACCCATCTCCTCCCACTTATGACTGTATTACTGAAACTTTGTTGCTTGTGTCCTAATGATTTTTATTGACTGTTTCCTAGTATGATTTGATTGCTTATTGTACCCTATGACTATTATTAAGTATCGTATCTTATGATGATGAATGTATCTTTCTTTTATGTACATATGCACCAAGACAAATTCCTTGTGTGTCCAATCACACTTGGCCAATAAATTATTCTATTCTATTCTATTCTATTCTATTCTATTCTATTCTATTCTATTCTATTCTATTCTATTCTATTCTATTCTATTCTATTAGCTTAATATGTCAAGCTCAGTGGTTTAGATAATAGCAATAATTTAATAATAGCAATAATTTTTCTTTCAAAGAGAAAAATCAGCAGCATCCTCAATCATGAAAAGAATGTCAATGCAACAGTGAAAAAGTTAATTCACCATATCAAAGAAATAAACACTTTGTATACTGACATTCTCTAGAACTAAGACAACTATGAAACATTATCTAAAAGTTATTATTTCTGCAAATGGTCTACAAAAGTCCTTCTTCTGAAGCATAAAGATATAGCAACTTCAGTCAAAGACAAAGCAAGCGATCCACAAAATGCGTTTTAGGAAGAAACTTTAAGACTTCAATTCATAGCTTCTTAAATGATCCAGTATGTTGAGCAATTACAAATAAAGGACTTTACTTGTCTACTTCAATAAAGAATTGCTGTTTTTTTTTAACCATTAAAGCAAACAGGCATTTCTGTATATGTAGGAATACGTTTATTTATTGTTTGTTTGTTTATAAAATTTACTGGCCACCCATCTTACCATGGGGTAACTTTGGGAGGCTTACAGGCATAAAAAATACATACCCATTAAAACCTAAAGAAATTAAAACGAAGATTAAAATTAAGGACACGTGGGGAAAGCAGGGTTAGAATGGGGGCGGGAAGTGGGATTATTACTCAATCAGTCACCTCCATTGTGCTGTTCCCCCACTGGGGCTCCAGGCCAACTGGCACAGCCAGGTCTTTAGGCCTTTATGAAAAGATAGGAGGGTTGGGGCCAACCTCACATCGAGGGGCAAGATGTTCCAGAGGGCAGGAGCAACAGCAGAGAAGGCCCACCTGCTAGACCCTACCAGCTGGAATAATTGGGCTGAAGAGACACGGCATTCCTCCTCTGCCGGCATGAGTGGTATGGGCCAATCCAAATGGATCCCTCAAGTTGGCAGTCCTTATAGTTCAACAAATTATGTAACTGGAAGATTAATTATGGAACAAATACTGGCTCTGGAGTGTGGATATATATTATACTAAGCAATTTACTTAGAAATTAGAATTGTAAACATATTAAACAACTTTGTGCACATTTAAATTTCTTTTTTCACTGAGTGATAAAACACAGATAAATTTTTCAGTGATTCTGCTTTCACTGCTTTCAGTAACAGAATAAACTAAAACACTTGCATAATCTTATGATAACTATGAACAGCTTGTGCTGTCCAGACAGTTTAGAGTTAATGGGATTTGGGATAGTTAGGATTTGAGAGCTGTCCCCTTAAGGGAGTGCATCATGGTAAATGTAGTTAAGGTATCCTGGGAAATGTAGTCCATGTCATGTGGCCACATCTGTAATCCTGATTGGTCACTAAATTGACCCTTGTTGGGTTGGGAGGGGCTCCCTCACTCTTGCCTGCCCCCTGCCTCTGCGACTATGGGATAGAAAGATTAATATCATGGATAGAAAGATTAATATCATTTACTATTCTGTCTTATGATTCACTTGCTAAATATAAAGACAGATAGAATAACTCTACAAATTATTCCATACAAAGTTTCTTTCACTGGACATTAGATGCATCTCGACATAACCGTGAGTCACCTTGAGAATACCTAATATAATCCAATAAAAGAAACTTTGTATGAAAGAATTTGTAGAGCTATTCTATCTGTCTTTATATTCAGCAAGTGAATCAAAAGACAGAATATAGCTCTTGTGGGTAAATAGAAGAACAAAACAAAAAATACTTGCCAGTTTTATAATTTGTTTTCTAGTAGCACAAGTTCTAAAGAAAAAATTCTCAATTATAAAAGGAACATCATTATTAGAATTAGTGAAAATTGAGATATAAATTACCCTTAAAATACAAGGAAACATACTTAAAATCAGGGCTATATTAAAAACAATGAATATTATTTTTAAATGACAGTATAACTGGATATGAACCAGTTTCAATTTTTTCCATAAAATTACAAGGGCAAAACCTTTCCTCAAAGGAAATTTGGCAGTATCTTATTTCCAATGAAGCTAAAGATAGAGCATTGAAATGAACTAAGGTGAAACCCTTAAAGAGGGATAGTTAGCTGGGAAAAAGAAAAGCTTTGGTTAAATTTTGTTCCTCAAAGCAAATGGAGAGATTGCTTATAAAAAATATCCATCAGTTGCTCTCTTATGGCTTCTTTATTTTGGGGGAAATCCAAGGATTGCAAAACTAAGGCAGACAACTGCTGTGTACTTTTGTCTCGAAAGTCTTTTTCCAACTTGAGTAAAAGTCATCCAATAGAATCAAGGAGGTCAGGCCCTGGGGACAGATATTTGAAGCCAGCAACTGATTTTGTTGATTTCCATTTGTGCTTCCATTGCAAAAGATTCTGCCTCCACATGTCAGACAGCGCTAGGTACACAATAAGGAACCACAAATATAACTTTGCTCCTAGCATGGAAAAAGCCTTGTCCATGCAAGTCTGTCTTTCATAAAGCAGCTTTATGACTGCCTTGCCCTGGAAGGCTCAAATTGTAGAGGTAATAGGTAAATCCTCATTGGGGAGGGGAAAAACACCTGAAATTGCAGCCATATATTTCTGAGCAACAGTCTCTGATATACTTAATCAAGGCTACCAGAAAGCAACACCAACACAGCTGTATATTTAACTTGCATCTGACTTAACATCTATCAATCTACCAGCTATGTTTTGTTAAGCATTTAGAAAAAAAAGCAGTGGCTTTTGATCTTAGAATAAATGTTGGCACATTTTTTCTTCAAAGTAGTAAAAGGCAAAGGACTTTTATCTGATCTTCAGCTCTACAGTAACTAAACATAGAGACCCACCTCAGCATACAACAAAGAGGTAACCTTTCAATAGGACATAACTGGAGGACAGAAACTGGAGTCAGAAACTGCTTCGATCAACAGATTAATATGGAAATTAAAGAGAGAGAAGCTTAATATATAGCCCTGCTTCTTCCTGGGTTTGGGGAAAAAAAACCACATTTTAGATGCCCTGAGGGGATAGTGATCCTTCATACAGATTCATAATGAGCATAAGAAGCCAGCAATCTATTGTGGAATTTTCAAACTTCCTCCATAATATATTCCTTGGAATTGAGTCAGACTAATATAAAATCAGTTAATCCTTTTCTCAGTGAATGTCATGCCACGAGCCACGGTGGCACAGTGGTTAGAGTGCAGTACTGCAGGTTATTTCTGCTGACTGCCGGCTGCCTGCAATTTGGCAATTCGAATCTCACCAGGCTCAAGGTTGACTCAGCTTTTCATCCTTTTGAGGTGGGTAAAATGAGGACCCAGATTGTTGGGGGCAATATGCTGACTCTGTAAACTGCTTAGAAAGAGCTGTAAAGCACTGTGAAGCAGTATATAAGTCTAAGTACTATTGCTATTAGATATTGGTTAACTGTTAGCCCATCCTAAAAGCCACCCTGTGCCTCCAGTAAGATGTTTTTATTCTATAGTGGAGCCCAAAACATCCAAGAAAGATGCCTAGCACAAAGATTGCTGATTCTATTAAGCAGACTGGTTAATGACAACGAAGAAACAATTTTTACCTTGGGAATACATTCTATTGATCCCAGTACAATTTACTTTTGTACGTAATATGCATATATTATAAATGCAAAAGAAGTGTGATATTTCCAAAAGGTGCTTTAACTCTTATCAAACTATAGTTGAACACTTCCCATATTTAAATATTACCTCTGGACAGCCTGATTCCACTTCAGAAACGTGATTGCCTATATTCCCTCTTCTTTTACAAATATAAAAATATCTGCTTTTACAATTTTTCACTTTCCAGCGTCCTTCCTGGTTAAAAAACAATAAGAGCATAGAATTACAACAGAAAAACAACTGAAATAGCGCAAGTATCTTTATTTTTTTCAGAAAGGCTTACTTATTTGAGTGGCCAATAAATTTAAAACATAAATAAATTTCAGGTGCTTTACTCATACGCATTAGACTGAGGGTACTACTAATATCTTTAGATCATCTATATTCTCCTATTATTTAGTGTATGAGTGGGCTCTGTTTCACAGCTAGGTAGACCTTTTAAGTGTACTGTAATTGTATTAAAATAAAAATTTGCGTAATAAAAACACCAAAAACTAAAATATAAATGTATTATCTTTCTGTAGCTTATCTAATCAAAAAATAGTTGACTGCTTTCCACTTCTGCTATATATTGGTCTCAATAATTCATAGAACTATTGTGTGATATCATAGAATATTTATCAAGATATCTTCCAAATCAGAAAAAAACATGAACATTGGCATTTTTTGCAAATTACTTTGGAAAAATTCAATGTGCGAGCAAGGGAAAGGATGTGAAACAAACTTGCCTGAAATAATGAGTCTGAAAAAGAACAGGTAAATGGAACATGCAAAGGCCTGAGATAATATAGTATGGAGAAAGCAATGAAATGAGAAATTGATTGCTCTGCATGGAAAAAGATGACTATACTAATAGTTATGGATCAGATGGGTGAGATAGCTGTGCAGAGATACTGCTTTGTTACTAATTGTTGTATGCACAAAAGTAATTGTTTTATATGAGTTGTGCCAGCACAGTGGAGCAGTGGTTAGAATGCAGTATTGCAGGCTAATTCAACTCACTGCCAGGAGTTTGATCCTGAGCAGCTCAAGGTTGACTCAGTCTTCCATCCTTCCAAGGTGGATAAAATGAAGACCCAGATTGTTGGGGGCAATAGCAGGCATGATATTCCGCTCTGAAAAAAAAATCGGGGCCGGCCAAAAGAGACCCCCCGCCGCGAGCCCGGGGAGCGCCCGCTGCCTTCCCTCGCCAGGGCCGGGCGGCGGCGTGTTGCATGGAAGCTGGTCTGTGGCTGGCCCAGCTCCCTTTTCCTGCCACTCAGCGGCCTCCGCTCACACCGCCCGGGCTCCGCTCAGGTATCCGGCTGGGGCTGTCAGGAGTTGCTACCGCCGGCGCAGCTCCACGCGGCTCCAGTCCTGCGTTGCCTCGGGAAGGGAAAGGCAAAACCAGGAGCCGCTGCTGCCGTTGCAAAACGCCGCCATGGCTCTTCCTTTTTGCCTTTCCCTTCCTGAGGCAACGCGAGACTGGAGCCGCGCAGAGCCGCGCCAGCAACTCCTGACTCGGGGCCTCCGAGGGGAGGGGAAGGAGGAGAAGAAGGGGTGGGGGAAAAGGAGGGGGCGATTCCCAAAAAAATCGGAATTCCGATTTTAATCGGAAGAATATCATGCCTGCAATAGGCTGACTCTGTAAACCACTTAGAGAGGGCTGTAAAACACTGTGAAGCGGTATATAAGTCTAAGTGCTATTGCTATATTGAACATCATCAAATACAGAAGGCTCATGATATGCTGTAATATACACAGCACACAAACACACATGTAACACATAGATGCGTAACATCCAAACTCATTCACTGAATTATTTTAAAAAGAAAAAAAAATCATACATGTTGCTGAGCTGAAACACAAATTTGTCCTTTCTTCTGAAGAATATTTGGTTCTTGTTTATTCCAGTAGGTGAAAATTACGGCAGATCCATCAGACCATTCAAACTCAACAGGAGTCTTATTACAGCTTAGTCCAATCCAAGTGTCTGTTACATTTTCTACAGAAGATAATTAAATGCATCTTAATACAACTTGAAAAAGTAGATAACATTTGACGAATAGCAGATTTTTAAAAAGTTGTGCACACTTTAACTAGGTTTAACAATAGTAGGTGATAGCACGGTGACTGAATCTGAAAAAAATGAGACTGCAAAAAGAGAATTTGAAAATGACTCTGAGACCACTTGTTGCTCATCCCTCCTGTCCCTATAGATTCATGATATTGTAAATATTTCTTTTCTTGACTTGTCAGCATTACATGGGTTCTCCTGCATCTTGTCAAAAGTCAATAGTATTCTGTTGGCCAAAGTCATCAAACATGTCCCAAAAATGCCCATTGCAAACATGTGCTTTGTAGCGTATTCTCAGTGTTGTTTTTTAATAGCAGCTATTTAAAAAAAAAACAACCAGAATAACAGTTGGAAGGGACCTTAGAGGTCTTCTAGTCCAACGCCCTGCTCAGGCAGGAAACCCTATATAATTGTTGTGAATAACATAAAGACAACGTGGCTTGTAATTATTTTATGAACTACCAAGCCCACCTTGCTTTGAGTCTATCAAGACTGTTGAGACTTTATATTCACTAGAGGTAATTTCAGTTAAATTATTTTTTCATACTCTTAACTTGTTTCAAAAAGTGGCTGGGCAATCAAAGTTAGGGATTGAGAAACTGTGATTCACCAGATGTTGATCTATAGTTCCCAGTATCTCTCATTATTGGTCATGTTAACTGATCCTTATGAAAACTGTGATTCTGCAATATTTGGAGGTCCACAATTTCCTTACTGATTCAAGCTGAGATGTAAATGTGATACATAAAAAACAAATATCCAGGGTGCTGATTATATTAATATGTCCACTAGAAATAAATGGAATGTTAAAAATGATTGTGCATCAGTTGTCCTGGGGCTTTTCAATGACAGATTTATATTTTGGTACTAATGTTATAATGGATAATACTTTACACAACCCCATTACTCCAAGTTTAATGGATCATGATCGAGCATCATGTTCTCAAGGGGTTATCATCTCCAATTCAAGCCATCTTTCTCAGCATCAAGTCTTTTCCTACTGTTACTTTTGAGAGTTGGGGAGCCAATGATGGTGCAGAGCAGTTGGGAATTTCTCAGTGTGACACTATCAAGTTACAAGATTGCTGTTCCTGAACTTTTCAAAGCTGACTAATGATACTAACTTTTGAACCTTGAGGAAAAGTTCCAAAAGAACTTCAGTAAGATTCTACTCCTGTAGTTCAAATTAAAACAAAACCCCTTCTTAAGAGACGCTTTAAAAATGCAAACTGCCTATATGGTAAGACAATGTTCAATATCAACTAATTATAAAAATTTACCGTATTCAAGGAGGTTAATAAGCATCTCTGTATCAGCCAAAGAGGTTATGCTAATGAGTGTGCTATTATCATCCTGGCAGGAGAAAAATGCTTCCTTCCAGCTCCTTTCTTCTTTATGAAGTTTATAGCAGTAATTATTATATGGATACCAATTACTGTCACAGTCAGTAGGATAAAATTTCCAGGAATCTTTTAATTAAAATATATAAAAAAAACCAGCTATATTAACAAACTGAAAAATCTCCTGGTTTTATATAATTTTATTCCACATATAGTATATGACAACATTAGCTTTTTCATATTATTTTCTATTTTTCTTTGCAAAAATAAAAATGTATTAATATATAAAAATACAAGAGCAAAAGTGTTATAAAATCAGAATAAGACTGTGCAATTACACAAATAAAAACTGCAATATAATCTTTCGGAAATTTGATATTTATAAAGTTTCATCACAATGACTTGATCCACGCTCTGTAGGTAATGAACAAATTGAAACTTGATTACAACTGATGCTCACACCTTCCAAATCTTGTATCATTATCATTCAGTCACAAGTACATTTAAAAAACATATTTTCAGTGAAAGTTGTTGAGATATGTGCATTATGAGTAACAATGAAAAAATACACATTTAAATGCAAATTAAAAGCCAGAACAAGCAATAAGGTTGTAATATTTGAACAATAATTTATTATACTATTAACCTGCCTGATAATATGTAGTTCACAAACATTTACATGACAGTAAATTCATCTAGCCTTTAAGAAATTTTTTGTTGCGATTTCTTTCTTAAAAACCCATAGGCTTAACTATAAATCATACTGGAGTCTGTGACTGAAAAATAAGTCCATGTTTGGGCAATACTTTTGTTAAAGTTAAGTGGTCATTATCGTAATCATATATAAGGAACATTTTTATTTTACTTCTTATGAAAAGAGGGTGGTTTGTGAGTATACAATATGCTCCAAAACAGGACCAAATATTGTTCTAAATTTATATTAGGGAAATTATCTACATATTAATTTATATATGTAAAAGCCAAGACTCTGTCTGAGAAAACAATAAAATTGTGTATGATCATGAAGTGATATTTCTTGGTTTACATTTTGATTTTGGAATGGTTGCCATTAATGTCTATAGACTCAGGAATACAGACTATAGACTAACCACTCAAAAATGATTTTTTTGAGGTAAATAACAACAACAATAACAGTTAACTAGTTATTATGTTTGGTGATGCAGTATCATTTAGTTCCCCAAAAATAAGATAATAAAATTGCTGAGATTAAACTTCACAAGATTTGATAGTTTTACATGAGATCTTATCAGAGTTTTCAGCTTTCTTCCCACTTCTGGATACTAGTTTAGGAAACTATACATTGGTACCCATTTTTTTTTTTAAATAAAAGGTGGACAAGCCAACATTATCTTTTTTTTTTTCCCATGGGCTATATCTAATATTAGGCAATTCCTAAATTACAATCACATAGTTTAAAAAATGAGGGCATTCTTGGAAATTACAATATGCTTCCACTGAAGAGTATTATTATTTCATTTCTCAGATATACAAACATATACACATATAAATCAACTGTAACATTCACTCTGAACCCTTGGCATGCAGAATAAGTACTTCTTTGTTGAGCCAAACTTCAAAAATGCTTAGCAGAGCTGACTATTCTTTATGGATTTCTATTAAGAAGCTCAGACTGCTGGTATATTTCCTTTATGTGGAATCCTTAAGTAACTCTGTATGTTTCACTAGAGTTTAAGTAATATAAATATGAGTTATTTACTTCTGAAATCCACCAGACTAGATGGGAAGAAAATCCTTTGGCAACTTTCATTTCTGATTGTAAAAAGTATGTTTTATGGCTTCAAAATGGCACAAGAGAATCCTTAGATAGTCTACCAGCATCAATGTTTATTTCATTAATTTAAAAATATGGGGGCTACACTCTGTACTCCTATTATTTCTTTGCATCCAGAGCATAAATACCAGATATCAAACTGTTTAAATCCCATCATGCACTAATGCATAATAGAAATGTCATTTTATTGCAAATAGAATTAGAGAGTAAAATTACAACACATTGATAGTAGCAACTTACCAATTGCTTCATGGGCAGTAGCATTTAAGTATTTTTTGCATACATATGGTAGTCCAGATTCACATGGGTAACTTGGCCAATCATTTTGTATTTTTAAGTTAAAGGCTTTACAACGAGGTGGTCCTAAAGAACTGTCAATGGGATCTGCAAACAGAGTTTTATAATAATTTATATCTTTACAAAAAGAAGCAAAATACTCAGAGAAAATACCATAGTAACAGGAAAAAGTCTGTAACTTTTAGCCCCCATTGACAGGGGACTCTCAAGCAGTAACATGTTTTTCTGGGCATAGAACACACAGTCATCATACCATCCCTCAGGTATTCTTACAATATACACTGAGATTTCTTGTGTGATGACATATGGAAGGATGATTCAAGAGTTCTGGCATTACTAGTCATTGTCAAACCATGTTACCTATAACAACAACAACAAAACAACAACAATGCCTGAAACTGGAGCAACTTCCAAATCAATTATGGGTTCAACTTTTGATAATAGATTGATATCAAAACTGAATTATTGACTAAAGTAGTCAATTCTTAGTTTATTGTATGAATGTTGAACAGAATGGGATAACTCGCCAAGGCCAACTCACCGCTATGGCCAACTCATTGTGGGTCAACTTGCCACGGGACAACTTGCTGTGGGACAATTCAACAATCCAATTTAATAATTTAAAATAATTTAAAAATATTTACATTTTTGTCATTCACATTTAATTTTATCTCTCCTTTGGCATCCTTTCTTTAATTATTCTATTTCACTATTTATTCAATACAAGTGTAACTCTTGTCCTGCGGCGAGTAGCCCCATAGAGAGTTGGTGTGTTGAATTTGGCCACAGCAAGTTGGCTGTAGTGGGTTGGCGGTGGTGAATTGGCTGTGGCAAGTTTTTGTAGACCTTGATTTTAAAGGTTAAATGCACAATGCCCATAGCATGGGCATATTTGTCTAGAAAATCTGTGAACTCAGTTTCTGCATTTTTTCTCTCCCATTCAGTCATGTCTGATTCTTGGAGACTGCCTGGACAAGTCCTGGCATTTTTCTTGGTAAAGTTTTTCAGAAGTGGTTTGCCATTGCCTCCTTTCCTAGGGATGAGAGAGAGAGTGACTGGCTCAAAGTTACCGAGCTGGTTTTGAGCCTAAGGAGGGATTAGAACTGTGTCTAGCTTTTAAAAATGTGTATTGTTATGTATTTGGTTTTTTTGGAAATTTGCTTATCAAAAATCCCTAGTAGGAAGGACTCTGGTTTGTATTCGATCTGCTCTTTGGTGATTTCTTCCAACCAAGTTTTGATTTTCTTCCAATACTTTTGGGTTTCTGCACAAGACCACCACATATGGAAAAAGGTTCCTTCTTTTTTCCTACACTTCCAGCAATGCGGACTCATGTTGGGGTGCATCTTCGCTAACCTCGAAGGGGGGAGATGCCATCTATAAAACATTTTATAAAGATTTTCCTTGTATGCTGCCGATTTGGTAATCTTATTGTTTCTGCCCCAAACTTTCTCCCATTCCGCTAATGTGATGCTGCGCCCTACGTTCTTACTCCAAGCAATCATATTTCCTTTTACAATTTCTTCTTCTAGTTCTGTTTCTAATAAGTAGTTATAAAATTTTGTTATGTTTTTTTAATTTGATCCTAATAAAATTTTATCTAACTGTTGCAGTTTGTTATTAATTCCGAATTCTTTTTTGTCTTGTTTATATCTGCTTTGAATCTGAAGGTAAACCCATTGATCAATTTTATGTCCTTGCTCCTGAAGATCCAGCCTCGGTTTCAAATTTCCTTGTGGGTCTAATAAGTCTTTGTATTTAATCATTTTGGTAAGCTCCAAATTGTTTGGGTGAATCATTGCCTCCATTGTTGAAATCCATACTGGTACTTTTGTATAATGTTTTTTCCTTATTTTCCTCCAAATTGTTAATAGTGCGTCTCTAATTAAATGTCTATGGAAATAATCAGATTAGCCTTCGCTCAACACTGGAAAAAACATCAAATTCCATCAGAAGAAATGATTATTGAAAAAATCTCAAAATGCGCAGAAATGGATAAATTGACTTTGGCGCTAAAAAACAAAGACACTTCACTATATTACGATAGCTGGAATTGTTGGTATAATTGGATTGACCAAAGATAAATTATATATCATAAGGCATAAAAGAAAAGTATCAATACATAATAATGAGGTAGCGATATAAGTTAAAAACAGGTGTGGTTATATGACACAAGTTAAGGTGATGAAAACAAAAGAAGATCTTGCAAACTGTTAAAATAAGAATACTTTTTATCCTGTAACCTCTTTCTTTCTTTCTTTTCTCAAAATTCTTTCCCTCTCTTCCTCTTCTCTCTTCTTTCTTTCTTTCTTTTTCTTTCTTTTGCTTATCTGTGTATGTATTGTGACTGGTTTTAATTGTAAAAATTAATAAACTATATTTAAAAAAAAAAGAACTGTGTCTAGCTTGATGCTTTAACCACTATAGCAAACTGCATCTCTCTCTTGCACATTAGCATGCATTTTAAAATCACATTCAAGGAATAATGTTACAAGTTTGCCATATATAGAGAGAAAATGACAAAAGTTTCAAATTAGAAGTCATAGTATGCATTTAATAAAATCTATCATCCTGCCCTCTCACAGCTCATGTTTATTTTGTGGATTGTAATTCAAAGACTGCATGTAGCCTTAATTATTCAATAATACTGAATAATTCATAATATACCATTTTGTTGAACACATAGAGCACATCCAATTTTTCAAGAACAGCAAAAAGGCCCTTTTTAGCATGTTAAGATGTGCAAATATTCTAACATGCTATTTTATATATCCTAAGGAAGATATTTTCATATTTAAGACTATGCAGCGCTCAAATCATGTCAGTAGCATTCCTTTCATTGGCACTTTGTACTCAAAAATGTGGCAGGGAGGCAAGGGGCAAGATATTCTGAGATATGTCTTTTAAAAGAAAGAGAAAGAAGAAAAATTATTAGACACCTTGTCTAAACTATACAATATCAATCTGTCAGGTGAATTGTGTGAGACATTTGCCTGTCTTCAGAAAGCAGCCATTTTTTTTCTATAATAGACAGAAAATTGGCTGATTCACTAAATCTATAATAGGAGTCCGCAATTCCTGGGCCACAAACTGGCACCAGTCCGTGGCCCACCAGGAACCAGGCAGCACAAGCAAGTGAAGGCCCATCTGTGTATGCACAGAATCCAGGCACTTGTAAAGCCATGCTCCTCTCCAGTCTGCGGAAAAACTGCCCTAAACGGAAGTGGTCCCTGGTACCTAAAATGTTGGGGGCCACTGATCTATAGGACTGAGCTTATGGTTTTCCTAATCCCTCTCTGGCTAGTACATTGCCAGCTGATTACTGATCTTAGTTGCAATAGGCGTACATAACAGTACTGTAATAAATCTAAATGGTACCCATTTGCCAGTTCACCAAAGCCAGAGGTGCACCATCTGACCACTGCCAGCCAGCAGTTTCATCCAGTTGATTTAAGCCTGTCCATACCATCGCTTCTTTTGTGTTCATTTGCTCTGTAAAATATATTAAACACTCATAAACAGGTTGCCATTCAGATACCACAGCTTACTCTCAATAATGCAAGTCGTGAATGTTTAAACCGGTGGTCTTCAAACTTGGCAAGTTTAAGACTTGTGGACTTCAACTCCCAGAATTCCTGAGCTAAGATGATTGGAGGAGGAACTTTGGGAGTTGAAGTCCACAAATCTTAACGCTTTCAAGTTTGAAGACCCCTGGTTTAAACCAATGGAATGCAGGGATCTCCCTTGCCAAGTGAGATTTCTGCAGCAGATGTAGAAATCAGCAATCTATGATCAGAAAACATCTGGATTGTTTCTTCCTTTTTCTTACTCTCTTTACCATGTCAACTGTGCAAAATAGAAATGAGCCAAAGCAGGGAACTGCAGATGATTTCAAAAGAATTGTTTATTTCATGGGCTTCAAGAGTTGACAAGCAGTAATTTAAACAGAGCTGCTCCAACCAAAAAAGGATAAGCCCTTTTCTCCAGCTTAGCATGCACAGCTAACCTACCCCAGACAGCTGTACCTTATCTTTTCATCTAAATCAGTGTTTTTCACTTTTTCAAACTTGGCTACTTTAAGATGTGTGAACTTCAATGCCACACAATTCCAAAATTAAATTCTCAAAATTCTCCAGACACCATGCTGTTTGGAGAATTTGGAGAACTGAAGTCCACAAGTATGAAAAACACTGTTCTAAATTGTTCCCAGAATGTAATCCATGTGTCCACAATCCAGAATGTAATCTGGAAAAAAGAATCATAGAAGGCCAAAAAAATAGAGGTGACAAAGTAAAGCGAAATGGGTAACTTCCTGTTAAAAACCCACTGTCTTCAGCTCCAAATTAAGCTGCTGTTGAGGAAAATGTCTGGAAAATGGAAAAAGGATGGGAAATCAGTTGAGAAAATGAAGAAAATGCAATGTGTCCTTTTGAATCAACTAGCAATTAAGACTGCAGCCCCAGTGGACCACAGAAGCTAGATAGAAAAATACATGTGTGCCCTTCAACCAAATAATTTCCATAACCAATAGACTGCAGGAAAAAAAGAATTTGCAAATCTAAAAGTCTCTGTTGCTCATTCATGTAGTGTTCAATTCTGGGTTTTTTTCAACCTGATGCCAATCAACTCTCATGAGATGTCGCATCTCTACAAAAAGATCTTGACTATGTATCCGAATGGTCAAACAAATGGCAATTTCAAATCTCAACAAATAAATGCTCTGTCTTACATATTGGCAAAAAAAATCAGAAAATAAAATACAAGCTGAATAGTCAAGACCTTGTTGATGACCCAAGCTCTGTAAAGGACCTTGGAATACTCACCTCTAATGATCTGAGTGCTAGAGCCCACTGCAACTACATAGCCAAAAAGGCATTAAGAGTTGTTAACCTAATCCTACGTAGCTTTTTCTCTGGCAATATCACACTACTAACCAGAGCATACAAAACATTTGCTAGACCAATACTCGAATACAGTTCATCAGTCTGGAACCCTCATTACGTATCTGATATTAGCACAATTGAGAAAGTCCAGAAATATTTCACAAGAAGAGTTCTCCACTCTTCTACTCGTTGTAGAATACCTTATGCCACCAGACTTGAAATTCTAGAACTAGAAAACCTTGAATTACGCCGTCTTCGGTCTGACTTAAGCATGGTATATAAAATCATACATTGCAATGTCCTACCTGTCAATGAATACTTCAGCTTCAACCATAACAACACAAGAGCACACAATAGATACAAACTCAAAGTAAACCGCACCAAACTTGATTGCAGGAAATACGACTTCAGCAATAGAGTGGTCAATGTCTGGAATACTCTACCCGACTCTGTAGTCTCTTCCCCAAACCCCAAAAACTTTAACCTTAGACTGTCTACCATTGACCTCACCCCTTTCCTAAGAGGTCTGTAGGGGGCGTGCATAAGCACACCAACGTGCCTACCGTCCCTGTCCTATTGTTTCTCTATTCTTTTATTTTTCTTATATGTACCCATCTCATGTATTCACAACTATGTATACACTTATACTTATTATCTTGTAAACAATTGACAAATCAAATAAATAAATAAATAAATAAATAAATCTCTAAGAGCCTAACTACTTTCCAAACTGACTGGTTAAGGTAAAGGTAAAGGTTCTCCTCGCACATACGTGCTAGTCGTTTCCGGCTCTAGGGGGCAGGGCTCATTTCCGTTACAAAGCTGAAGAGCCAGCACTGTCCAAAGATATCTCCGTGGTCATGTGGCCAGCATGACTAAACAGCAAAGGCACACGGAACGCACCAAAGTGGTCCCTATTTTTTTACTTGCATTTTTACATGCTTTTGAACTGCTAGATTGGCAGAAGCTGGGACAAATAACGGGAGCTCACTCCCTTCCATAGCTAGGGATTCGAACCCCCGAACTGCCGACCTTTCTGATTGACAAGCTCAGCGTCTTAGTCACTGAGCCACCACGTCCCTTTTAACTCACTAGTTGGTATTTAGTATTATTTTAGTATTATTCATGAACTCAACCAATAAGATTACCTAAACAGGAACCAGAATAATTGGGGCTTCCTTGAAAGTTCTTATATTCCAGACTTTACTTAAAGACTTTTAAACTTACCAATTTGACCACCAATATACTTCTGTTCCCTCATATCTGTGATACTTAACAGATCTGCTCCTTGTCCCTGACATGCAACACGTGCCTCATTCCAGGAGAGAACAGAACGAAGATTGATCTGGTAACAAATCTGAGTATCTGCATTTATCTTCCAAAAAATATCACAGCCAGACCCTGTGAAGAAAAGACAGCATGATATTACAAAGTCATTAAGAAACATAACACTCCTAATGTAACAATCTAGATTAATTAACACCTAGTGGAAAAGTGGAAATGCTAAGATGATATTACTATGAGTATACTTTCCATACTCTTTTTTAATATAACTTTTATTGTTTTATCAATGTGTAAAATACAAAGAAAAGTATAAATAGGAAATGAAGTGAAGGAAAAAGAAAGGGAGAAAGAAAATATGAGGTACAAGGGAAGAAAGAAAATGGCATTGATTTCTGACTCTTTTTAGCACACAACAAGTTAACATTACAAGCTCAACTTTTTTCTTTTACACATTAGTATATAAGTAGCCATTTCTGTAACAACAAATCTATCTAACTGGCAAAACCAAACTCAGTTTCATTTTTTTTCATCACAAGCACAAAATCCAGAAGTGATAAAAAAACATATTCTCCTTTTTGAATAGAAAAATCAATTTAACCATTACTACTTTATCTTTCTTGCTGATGAAATAATATGTATTTCTATTTGCACTTAATTTTTACAAACTATCACCATTTATATTAACAAAATTCACTGTAGTTTTTTAGATTCTTTAACCTTAAAGGGAAAATATTTTTTCATCCATTTTAAAGCACTAAGCTTTTCTAAAATTAAAACATTCTAATACATCTTTTTAAACTTGCTCTTAGCATGCATCCTTCCCTGGGCATGTAGTCAGTTGGCCATCTTTTCATCGGAAATTAACATTTGGGGATACTTTCCATATTCTGATGTCAAAATTAAGTTGGGCACTCTGAAATTCAAAATTATCCTCATACCTCAAATAACTTTTAATAATATCAGTGAATAATACAATTGAACAATTCAGCAAATTGAGCTATTTTGAACTATTAATTAAGAAATATACATCTCCATTCCACAACTACTATTCCAGTTATTAGTCTAATGTCCTCAGACCAATACATGTATCATTGCTATAAACAAATAAAGCAGTGTATTAATTGCTACATACCAGAATTTGGGCACAATCCCCATTTTTCATCTTGTTCATAGTGGCTTGTTGTGGCACACCAACGATATCCATCTTCTCTGAAATCTCTGATACATTCATAGTGCCATTTATTGTTGTATTTAAATGGAAAAACACAAGGCAAACCAAGGGAATTTCCCAACAGGGTATATATTTCTGAATGGAATAAAGTACCATACTGCTGATATATCATTTGGAAAGAAAATTGAAAAGGTATAAAAACCTTTAATGGATATTCTTGCCGCACCTCACCCCAAAAAAGAATCTGGTATCATAATAGTTTTGTGATTTGCATTAGTAAAAGTACTTTCACTGAAAGGAAGGACTCTGCTCTATCCATTTTTAATAAGGCTTACATCATGATAACAACAACTTGATTTGCACTTGATAATTTTTATAATAGCATTTGCCATCAGTCAGTTAATAAGACTGACCAAAAGAGCAACCATAGAAGCCTGCTGCAATAGTAATATCTTAAACTCTAACATATTCATTACAATATAAGCCTATTGCTACATAATTAATATATTTGCTATTTGTATTTTTGCAAATTCAGGACATGTGATATTCATGGATTTGTAGGTATAGTACAAATTGCCTTTAATAAATTCTCAGAGTCAAACACTTCAATTAGAACATTTCTCAAGTAAAAAACTGAGCAAGAGTGGTTCATTACTATATTTTCAAGCCAGATATAAAGTTTAAAAGTCATTCCCACATTATCATTTTCATACAATAGCATTTTTTTACACGTAAGTCTTGAGAAGGACATGCAAGACGTCTGTAAATGTGTCTTCTTGTATCATTACGCTGAACCCTAAGATGGCTATGTATTTTGTGATTCAGCTGTTTTCTTGATAACTAAGGTGAAAGGTAAAACTGATGCATAAAAATATGTAGAATTGACTTAAAAAGCCCCACATTGTATTGACATGACTCTGTATAACTGCAATAAATCCAAGCATCTAGGTCAGGGGTCTTCAACCTTGACAGCTTTAAGACTTGTGGACTTCAACTCCCAGAATTCCTCCTCCAGTCATGTTAGCTCAGGAATTCTGGAAGTTGTAGTCCACAAGTCTAAAACTTGCCAAGTTTGAAGGCCCTTAGGTAATGTTGCTGTGGGCTAACTACTGGCCCTTCCATATTACTAATCATGGAAGTTATAAACCCAACCAATTCACATATTACTGTAACTTTACAACCCATTATAGATCTCTATGTGAAGTGAGCCTACCTAAGCTTCACAACTTGCTTTCTGCTTTGCTCCTCTCATGTAACCAAGAAGAAGCCAGAATTCATGCCTGCTTTATCCTGTGGCTTGTTTCTGATCTGTTGAACAACTAAACAGACTATATTTTAATACCGTGAATGTTGATTCACATGGAAGAAATTTCACAAAATGTCTAACGATCTGCCAGGCCCTGGATATATGGATGAGCATCACGTGTAAGGGAATAATTATGCCAGCACAATGCATAACATTTGAGATTTTTACACATTTTCAAATTCTATGCAGTATAGATTGCTGATGCTCCCAGCTGATAGCAAAAAGAAATTATCTTAATCACATTGCTATCTTATGGTTATAAGATGCTATTCTTATAACCCTCACATTTAAGCACCACCCGGGTTATTAAGGGAAGCATGACTAGAAAAAAAATACCTTCAAATGCATGTTCACAAAGGTCATCGTGCGACCCGAACTGTTTCCATCCATAGTTCGAATTTTTTTTAACTACAATAAATTTGCTCTTTTCGACTGCAAGTTTGTACTGGGATGCCCCAATAATTGCCTTTCCATGACATTGCCACTGCAGCAAATGCTGAGGGGAGTCACATTGTGTCATTACTAGGGATGGCTCCGGGTTACTGAAATTGAGTCCAAGGCAAGAGCTTGCGCCTATGTTGAAAAGCTGCTGTTTAGATCCCCATTTCCACAACATGTACTTAGAAACTTGATTGCAGTTTTCAAGGAGGAGCTCAGAAGTTTCAGCTGCAATACATGTCTTGAAATTTTCACTTTGAATAA